AACTATATAATAAATCTATTTGCATCAAATTTTAAAAATATTTTTGTGTGCTAAATTTGTACTCCAGATGACATAAGTGGAACTATCATTTCCTATCTTCTAATCACCCCACCACATTAAAACTTTTTTCATTTTTGCTTTTGTGTGTGCCTGTGTGTGTCTATTTATGTCTCTGTGTATGTCTGTGTGAGTCTCTGTTTTATAATTTTGAAATAAGGTTTAAATTAATAAGTATAAATATTTGTTTGGTCCACAAAACAATTATACAATTTTCATATGTTCCTTTTTAATAAGTAACTGAAAAATCAGACCAGAATTATCACTAAGATTTTCAAATGTCAGGCAATCTTTTACTATATAAATCCTGATTTAAATATGCTGTATGTTTTCTATTATTGCTTATATATGATACTTATTACTATAAATATATAAAAAAAATCAGAAAGGGTCATAACTTGGGTCTTGAAGCAGATTGGTCCAAAATTCTTGAAAAATATTAAATGCTAATAAAAAAACAAAAAAAACCCACTCACATTTGTACCAAAATAATGAAGTATCTAGGTGTGAATCCAAAAATACATGTGCAAGTTTTATTATGAACAAAACTACAAAAAGTAGTTGTTGATGATCATAGGTTGATGATCATAGGTTGATGAAAGAAAGAAAAAGGGAGGCAAATATAAATATTCCATGTTCACAGACAGGAAGACATGAAATTGTCAAGACATCAGTCAGTCCTTTATAACTTGATCTACATGTTCAAAACAATGCTAACCCAACACCAGAAAATTATTTTGAGGATGACAAAATGATTGTAAAGATTATGTGAAGAAGCAAAAGGCCAGGAAAAGTTAATGCAGTATTGAAAGGGAAAAAAGTTGGAGCACTGACTCTACCCAACTTCAGGACTGATGATAAAGCTATGGTACAAGACACTATGGTGAGAGACTAGACAAAGGGACAGAGCAGAGGCCAGAAATGACCTTTATCCACAGAGCAAGGACCACAGCAAGGAGGTATCAGCTTTTCAACAAATGGCTCTGCAACATCTGCACATCCACATGCAGAAAAATCAGTTCAGACACAGACCTTACAAATGTTAATTCACAGTGGATCACAGACATAAATGCAAGACACAAAATTATAAAACTCTTAAAAGATATAATAAAGGCCTGAATGACCTTGGGTATGATGATGAAAGAAATAAATGACAAACTAGACTTCCACTGAAATTTAAAACTTGTCAGACACAAATAACGTATATGAAAAGGGATCACTTTCCAAAATACACAAATAACAAAATGAAGCACTAAGAAACAAAACATTTTAAAAAACAAGCAAAAGACTTGAACAGATAACAAAAAAAAAAATACGAACACTATATATCCTTAAGGAAGTTTAAACACCGAGATATCTCTGCATCCCTATTACAAGGACCGAGATCTAGAACACGGACGCTACCCGGTGCAGGTCAGAATGTGGAATGACAGAAACTGGTGTGGATGTGTGGTATAATCATAGTGGAAGACAGTTTCGAAGTTCTTTTTAAATATTTAATTAGCATACAAAGAATTAGGTTTCATTTAGCAATTTTTAAAGAGTTTGACAGTTTCTTATAAAATTAAATAGATTCTTGCCATACGACTCAGCAATTTCAATCCTTGATACTAAAACATATTTCCACACAAAAGCCTACAAATGGATGTTTATACTGCTTTATTCTTAATTATGAGAACTTGGATGCAATCAAGATGTCCTTCAGCAGGAGAGCAAAGAAACAAATTGTGCTACATGCAGACTATGAGTAGAATTCAGCATTTTAAGAAATGAGCTACCAAGCCAGGAAAGGGCACAGAGTAACCCTAAGTGCATATGGCTACATGAAAGAAGTTAAGGTGAAAATGCTGCCTACTTGCCTTCTGCATGACTCCAACTGTGATGATTTGGAAAAAGTTTAATTATGGTGACAATAAAAAGATCAGTGATTAGCAGAGGTCACAGGGGAGAAAAGGTGAATACATGGCACATAGATGATTTTTAGGGCAGTGAAGCTTTTGTATGACACCTCAATGGTTGATGAGTGCCATGTATTTGTCAAAGTCGATAAAATGTCCATCAACAGTGAACCCTACTGGGAACTGCAGACTACAGGTGGTTATGATATGTCAACATGTGTTCATTAATGATGACACATGCAGCATTCTGGTAGGGATGCTGACAGTGGGAGACATTGTAAGCAGGTGTGGAGGCTTGAGCTTATAGGAACTCTGAATTTTCTACTCTGTTTTCCAAGGAATATAAAACTGTTCTAAAAAATAAAATCTCTTAAAAAGAAAACAACAAAATCCACTATAGGCACTATAGCAAGTTCTATAATAATTTTTATTTATGAATACATATTGTATAAAAGTTCTATTCCACAATTTTAAAGATCCACAGTTACTTACAAATATAATGCTCCATGTGTAGTCTCTCCATTTCCATAAATCCTTTCAGTCCATCTGTTCCCTCCTCTCAGGCTGGATGTAGAATACTACTGCCTCCTTGCAGGAAAGAGTTAAGAATTAAGGATATTAGGAAGATCCATTCTCAGATGTCACTGACGATGCTGAGAGGCATCCAGGACCGTGAATGCATCATTCAAAGATAAAAAAGAAACTGAGTCTTCCTCAGACTGTTCTCATAAAATGTATTCCATATCAGTACAGATTTAATTGTTAACACTTGTTTACTGTTGAACTTTTGTGCCAGAATCAATATCCGGCTTCCAATTTCCACTCTTTAAAGTATTTCTCCATTGTACTCCGAGATTTATAGGTGCCAACATTCACTGTAGGTATGATCTTCTGGGGCTTTAGCCACTGGACAAAACGTTTCATCTCTAGGTAGCTGCTGTGCTCACTGTAAGGAATTCCTACAAAATCAAAGCAAAGACATTATCTTCTAAAAATCAAGTTAATTGAAATAATTCAAGTATAAAATAGAAAAGCAATCCAGAGTATTCCTGTCAAAAAGTCTTCAGTACCTTAGCTCTGGTTATAACATTTGGTATGTTTTATGGGTAATAAGGCTTAAAACATTAACATGACATAAAACTCATGCACTTGAAAAACTATTACTTTTCTATGCATATACTTAATAATATGATTTCTGGACAGTCCTATTTGGTTGGATTTTCTTCTTTTTACATGTCTTTCTGATAACCACATTACTCAGCTATGGGTTTCAGGAAAATCTGGAAGAAATATGAGAAAAACCGTAACAGGCAGGGCACTCTTGGATTCTAGCGCAAATGATGCAGCTCCAAGGCCAAGCACGAAAAGAATGAGAAAAGCCAGAAATTCTAAAAATCCTTCTATCTTTTTTTAAATCACAGTTCAAGTACCACAGAGGAGGGCTGGAAGGAAGCTATTCTGAGCAAAAAATCTTCAGAAGTCAGTCAGCCATGGAGGGTTCAAGCCAGCTGTGAGGGCAAGGATAAGCCTCCCCCAAGGGATGAAGATGCCAAGACATGCCGGCACCCTGCAGTCACCACATCTAACCTGCCTCTTCCTGCCGGAAACCTCAGGTTCACATCATCTAGACTTCTGGTTGCTAGACATCTTGCATAAAAACCACAGCATTCATCCTTTCAAGCAAAACTACCATTTCCTCTAAGCATCAGTGAACACAAAAATGCAGAGATCTGTGTCAGGCAGTATCTGGATATTGTCAAGTTCCTTTAGTTCACATCGGACTAGACAGTTTAGTTGTGGAGAGATTTGAGACACATGAGTTGTTAAATTCTTTGACACCTGTTTTACTTTGTTCTTGATTTTATAGTAGCATAAAGTAACAACAAACATTGAAAATGAGAAATTTTGGGCTGGCAAGAAGGTTCAATGGGTTAAGGTGCTTGCCACCAAACTTGAAGACCTGAGTTTGATCCCCATAACCCACACCACAGTAGAAGGGAAGCAAAGACTCCTGCAAGTTGTTCTCTGACCTCCACATCCACACCATAGCATGTGTGCACCTGTCTCCCCCACCCTCTCTCTCTCTCTCTCACACACACACACACACAATCAAAGAGTAAATAAATGTAATTTTAAAACTACTGAAAAATGACAAATTTTAATAATTTTACCATATATTGAAATCTTTCCTTTGGTCTGGGGAGTAACTTCTGCTATGCTAGTTATGTTGTTAGAGTGTGTCCACCCTGTAGGCCGAAAAGCCAAAATCTGATCATATTTCCCATCACACTTCTTCAAATGGCTTTGTAAGCCCTGTCAAATAAAAATAGCATATTGATTTAATGGTCAATGGAGATGGATTATGTGGAATTAAATGGAATGATTAGAGATGACACACAGTCACAGTCACAGAGAGTTTCCACTTGTTAAAATTAGCTTGCAACAACCTAGTACCAAAGAAAGGAAACCATTGGAAAATATATAAAAGCTTTTCTCCTTTACTTACCTAAACAAGCTAAGCTAGTGCCTGGAAAAAAGTAGGATGAGGCAATTTAAAACATAAGTAACCAAGTGTAAACAAATTATAACTCAGTTACAAAAAAACCCACCTCTCTCCAAACTTTATATATAGGGAGAGACATTAATATGATAAACATTAATGCAAAGATAAATCCATGCATATAAATTGACAGAGGACTGATGAAAGACAAATAATCTTATAAGAATGGCACTGTATACAACATAGATGTATATTTTATTTTTAAAATATTTTTATTGGTTTGAGAATTTCAGTTTTTACATTTTTTTTTTTTTAAGGCAGGGTCTTACTATGTAGCCCTGGCTGGCCTAGAACTCACTATGTAGACCAGGCTGGTCTCAAATTCACAGAGATCCATCTGCCTCTGCCTCCTGAGTGCTGGGATTAAAGGTATGCACCACATACGACCTCCTTTGATGACAGATGCACATTTTAAAGATGCATTTAGCATTCTTCTCAGGTGTTTACTCATTTTTATTTAAACATGATCCAGACTCATTTTCAAAGTGTTCATGTTGCTATAATTGGAAGCAATACTCTCTTCTCATAATTCTTGAGTAGAATAAAATTTCCAAAGCTTACTCACTGAGAGATGGGAGAAATTCAGTTAAAGATGATAGTGGCGTAAGAAATTTTTTTTTTAATTCAATACTTTGGTTTTAGGGTTAAAACCTAGAATTTCAAAGGCTTAGAATGAATAAATACAATTCATTGATGCAATAATCCCTTGACCTCTGTCCTAGTTTGTTCTTCATTGCTGTGACAAAACATTCTGACCAATACCAACTTGGGGAGGAAAGGATTTATTCAGCTTACAACTCCCAGGTCACAGTTCATCAGGGAGCCCAAGGTAGGAACTCAGGGCAGGAACCGGGAAGCAGGAGCTGGAGCACAGGCCATGGAGGAATGCTGCTTACTGGCTTGCTCTCCTGGCCCCTGCTCAGCCTGCTTTCTTATGCAACACAGGCCCGCCTGCCCAGGGGTGGCACCACCCACAGTGGGCTGGGTCCTCCCACATCACTCATCAAGAAGATGCCCTTCAGACATGGCCACAGGCCAGTCCAATAGAGGAAATTCCCCGATTGAGGCTCCCTCAACCCAGGTGTGTCAAGTTGACACTAAAGCTATCCAGCACAACCTCTTTTTTAAAGTGTGTGTGTGTCTGGTGTATGTGCAAGGGCAAATGCACACCCATATATGTGCATGGAGGCCAGAGTGGACACTGGATGTTCTGCTTTACCTCTCTCTGCCTTACTCCCTTCAGACAGGGTCTATCACTGAACCTGGAGCTAGGCAGGTGGCCAGCAAGCCCCAGTGAGTCTTCCGGCTATGTCCCACAAGGCACTGGGGGTTATAGCACGTGCAACGACACCTGGCTTTTTGCATGAGTTCTGGGAATTTCCTCAGCAAATGCTCTTACCAGCTGAGCCATCTTCCTAGGCCCCTTGACATCTTTAATGCATCAACCAAAAACTCTTTCATTAATTTTCAAAAATATCATGAAAAAGCCATATTTCTAACCAAACACTATGCCTTATATTAAAAGGTAAAGGTATGCATACGACATCCCTGACACTGTAAATTTTTCAAGTTTTTGTTTTGGTTATTTTCTTAATGATTTTTACTCACTTTGCCCTCAATAAGAAATAACAGTAAGTATGGGGCTGGAGAGATGGCTCAGCGGTTAAGAACACTGACTGTTCTTGCAGAAGACCTCGGTTTGAATCCCAACACCCACATGGCAGCTAACAACTGTCTGTAATTCCAGTTCCAGGGGATCTGACAGTCTCTTCTGTCCTCCCCAGGCATTGCACAACATGGGTGCACTTACCTACATGCAGGCAATACATGCATATACATAAAATAAAAAAATATTTTTTAAAAAAGAAATAACAGTAAGTAATAACAGTACATAGAGGCTGAGGGCAATAACACATGTAGTCATACATGTAGTCCCATAAACTTAAAGTCTAGCTTTCAACATGCATTACCAACCCATCCACTTTTGTTTATCTTTTAAAACTACCTAGAAGAATTAAATGAGAACAAAGTTTTGATTTTTATGAGACAAATTACAGTTATTATTAAAACATCATGTGGCAAAAATTAGTGCCACAAACAAAAACATGATGTTACATAAGCCAATCCTACAGAAAAGGCTGCCAGCAATCACTAGTTGCACATTAACTACAATTTCAGAATGATTCTCATAAGGAAATTTATTATAAACAATTCAGTCAACACAACATCCCTGATCTATGACCATCTCTGTTTATTAGTAACCAGTCTATGAGCAAAATGCCTTGACAATGTAACCTGAATTTTTTTTCAGAATGCAAATAATCACCCACAGCATCATTGCCATGTTTTATCACATTTAGCCAGTCAGGGTTAAGTCATAGGTGGCAGTCAACCACTTATCACCTATAAGATCTTGGGATGAGCCACAGAGCATGAATTAGGTATTACTTAGTGTTTCAGAGTCAGTGTGTGTGCTTGGGTGTGCACATGCATGTAGTATGTTCAAGTACATGTATGCATATGTGTGTGGAGGCCAGACAACCTTGGGTATTGTTCATTAGGATCTATCTACCTTTTTAATTTTTTTAAATTATTTTTATTTTTTTAATTTTATGTGTATGCGTGTATTGCCTGCATGTAGGTAAGTGCACCCGTGTCGTGCAATGCCCACAAAGGTCAGAAGAGGCTGTCAGATCCCCTGGGACTGGAGTTACAGACAGTTGTTAGCTGCCATGTGGGTGCTGGGATTTGAACCTGGGTCTTCTGCAAGAACAACCAGTGCTCTTAACCACTGAGCCCTCTCTCCAGCCCACCCCCCTTTTAATTTTACGACAGGGTCTCTGTCCACCTGGAGCTGGCCAAGTAGGCTAAGCTAGCTGGCCAGTGAGCCCTAGGCACTTTCCAGTTTCTGCTTCCCTGGTGCTGGGATTATTACACACCACCAATGCTTGGATTGTTTTTACATAGGTTCTGGGGATCAAACACAAGTCTTCATTCTTTCAAGGCAAGCACTTTATTGGCCCTACATTTCAAAGGCTTTTAAAGATGCCTTGGACACCCTGAAAGGTATTAGGTTTATTTTTTCACAAAAAGTCATTATCTCTGATGCCATAACACTATTTTTTGTTGTTACAATTTGGCTATAATTACTAAGGTACAGCATTATGAAAATCATCAGTTTCTATTCCTCTATGTTTTAAAGATAATGATCCCAAAATGATATCAATACCCGGTCACTTTAGGGGAGGAAGGAAAGACTGCTGATGGCCATACCAATAAACAAATCTGTTCCAGTTCTACAGCAACATGTCAGGGTAAAGGAAGATGCAGCCCTCACTCTCTGGAACTTTACAGCCCACTGGCAAACAGCCGCAAGCCCCACCTTTTGAATCTGTTTTGAAAGACTCCACCTGCCTTTTTTTTTAGCTTTCTTTAACATTCATGAGGAGCCATAAAGATTAGCCTTTTCATAAAGGACTAATTTTTAGTACAAACTCCTAGAAATGGAAAAATATAGAATTAGCGAGTATGGCGCACGCCTTTAATCCCAGCACTCGGGAGGCAGAGGCAGGCAGATCTCTGTGAGTTCAAGGCCAGCCTGGTCTACATAGTGAGTACCAGGCCAGCTGGGGCTACAGGGAAACCCTGTCTCAAAAAGACTAAAAAAAAAAATTCTAGACATTGGCACCAACCAGGTCACTCCCTTTTCAAAGTCACTAGCCTAAAAAAAACAAAACAAAAAAAAAAAAACTCAGAATGAACATTTCTAAATTCTTAAAGCCAATTTGAGTTCTTGTGTAAAAATTTGTGCTTGAGTTTGCAGTTGTCTGAAGATTTATTTCTGTTTAAGTTTGAATTGATAAAAATAAAGCCTCTAAAAGAAGGCTGTGTGTATCAGAGACAGTCTATAAAGCTGTAGGTTGCAAGGGAACAATTAGAGAACAAAAGGCTGCCTTCTTCCTGGGCAAGGCTGCCAAATACTGGTTCAGAAACCTTACTTGATCAATACTGCCTTTCTTCATGTACTACCAGTTTCTCCTTAGTACCCACCTATAACATACACATTCTCATGACAAGCCAAAGCCGTTGTCCCTCGCCCCGGAACCAGCCAGCACTGCGTCTTTCCTCTAACAGCCTGTGCTCGGCTTTTGCTCTCCATCTTCTACTTGTTTATCTTTTTTTTTCCTGGCCTTCTAGGCAGACAACTGCCTTTTAAGTGCTCAGTTCAGCAGTTTTTAGAATATTTACAAAGTCACAGTTGTGCAACATCACTACAATCAAATTCGAGAATATTTACATATTCCTCTAGACAAACCCTGTACCACTGTCAATTACACCCCATTGCCTATCTCAAACCCTGAAGCCCCCAACTAACTTTCTATGCCTGTAGAATTACATATTCTGGTTATTTCATATGAACAGAATCATATAATACATAGTATTTTGTATCTGGCTTCTTTTACCTTGCATATTTTCCTCATAGTTTAGTGATACTATAGCATGTATTAGTATCCTATTCCTTTTTATAGCTGAACAATGTCCTGTTTTGTAGACATATTACATTTTATTTAATCATTCATTATTTGATGGGTATTCGGGCTGCTTAACCTTCCGACTATCATGAAGAATGCTGCTATGGGGGCTGGAGAGATGGCTCAGCGGTTAAGAACACTGGTTGTTCTTGCAGAAGACCCGGGTTCAAATCCCAGCACCTACGTGGCAACTAACAACTGTCTGTAACTCCAGTCCCAGGGGATCTGACAGCCTCTTCTGACCTCCACAGACACTGCACAACACAGGGGCACTTACCTACATGCAGACAATACACGCATACACATAAAATAAAAATTAAAACAGATTTTAAAAAAAAAAGAATGCTACTATGAACATTTCCACAGAAGTTTTGTTCAGAGCAAAGCTTTTAATTTACTTCAGTAGGATTGGAATATGCATCAGACTGGGTCATATGATCACCCCACACTTAGCTTTTTAAGGAATTACAAACTGAATGTTACTACCATTTCACAATCCCACTAACAAAGAACAAGGGTTCAAATTTTTTCCATACCCTCAATGGTAGTTACTGTCTTTCTTTTTCACTGTAGCTATCCAAGTGGTGTCAAGAGGTATCTATCTTACTGTGGTTTGGACCTACAGTTTCCTAGTAGCTAACAAGGCTGAGCCTTTTTTGGCCAATAGTATGCTTATTGGCCATCTATGCACCTTCACTGGAGAATGGTCTTTTCATTCACCCCTTAGCTCTCTGTTACCTAGCCCCTCCCAACATCACTTCACTGAAACAGTTCCTGTCCAGGTCACCAAAGATGTTCTGTCAAATTGCCTTTCTCCTCTTATTTGATATTTTTGGCAGCATACTGTATTTCTGAAGTCTCTTTATTGAAAAGTTCCAATCCTTTAATTTCCACACACTTGACTCCTTCTTACCATAATGACTTTTCAAATGAAACAAATATAATAGGGAATAAAACTGTAAAATAAAATAATGTTATATCTTCCTCAGGATGGGAATGTGCACTCTTCTGACTGGACAGCACTTCGTCTGGCTCTTCACTGATTGGATATTCCCCAAACTTCAAATGCTTGCAAGTCTGACATAAACACCAATGGACAAAACTCTGGCTTGGTTATATTGGAAATTTGTGTGGATTACAAACCCATGAAATAGGTCCTAAAATTTTTACTTTAATCTCACACTCAGAGGAGTACAGAGAGTTTCCTTACTGGAGGAACAGATACTAATTTTCTTTATATAGTATGCTATTTGTATGGCACAGAAAGTAATCAGCATCCGATGCTTAAAAGCTTCAGAAGTTACTTCATGAATATGCTAGCAATAGTTAAAACATGTTTCTTTGTGAATTAAATTCTGAATCATATTTAATAAGCAGTGTTAGTAAATTCCATTGCCAGGTGTTAAAGGGTTAGTATATGGAACAGCTTAAGTAACTCTAACAGAGTTAAGTCCTCAAATCACATGATGTATCATACCATACTTCACATCATGTGTTTTAGTTTACACCTGGGAACTAATGCTAGAACTTCCTTTCAGGATACACTTTGACTAATTCATTTAATTCTCAAAGGAAGTTAAGTTTTAAACATAAGCCAGAGTTACGGGACTTAGTATTAGAATAGAACCGACTTGAAGAAAAGAACCTAGAACTCTCCTCATTTCCCCACTCACCCAGAAAGGACTGGAAAAATGATGTTTGAAATGGAAGGTCTGAGTGGCCAGATGGCTGCATACTTATCTATTTGTGTTCCCTCCTGTGTGCTAGTTCACTAGTTTCTAAAGTCCTGGAGGGTATGTTCATTACACCATAGAGATACACAGACAAGCTAAAAACATTTAATGTCCCTTTTGAAAAAAAATTCTACTATACTGGAATTCCTTAAAGTCAATACAGATAAAATGGACTCCAGTTAACAACCATAAGATTATTTTTCCCAGTTCATCCTTGTTTTGAATGCTTACCTTAAAATTAATTTGCATCATTGGGAGAAGGTGAACCATGGAACTGCTCATGTCTGTGGTTATGAGGGAATTAATTTCTGGTATATTGAGGCACTGTAATGTCTTATATTTTTCTTGGGACATGCCGACCTTTGAACCTAAAACATCAGCAATGGCTGTAGACAAAGCAAAAGATTCAAAACAGTAAAATTAGGGCTCCTGGAAAAAACAAATTTACAACCCATTCAAATGTTACAGTAAGAATTTACCAAATAAAAAACAAATTCACAAAACAAATATTCACACTTTAACCATAATATCCACAAAGAGTTGAATGACTCTGTTCATTAATTATGTAGAAAGGGTAAGGAAATCCCATTGCTTATTATTATTATTTTAAAACTACAAAAGATGAATAAAAAGGGACAGAAGAAAAGGAACTAAATTTGGAGATGTTAGAGGCCTGACTATCATATCACTTCATCTTTTAAAGGTTGACAAAATGGGATCGTACTCAGGAGGAAGCGGGAAACCAAAACAAAACCATACGCCACCTTGACAAACTACAGGGAAACAGAAAGCACCGAGGCGCAAACCTAAAACTGTTCTCCAACAACTCCTGATGGTTATCGGAAGGAATGGTGCAATACAACTATGTGCCACTCATCTTTCAAAGCTAATTAAAGTAACAATATAACATAAACTTTGTCTATAAACACTTCATAGATATAAATGCCAAGATAAATGTACTTATCAAATGTACTTATCAAAAGTGTCCATAAAGCTTAGCCTTTCAAAGTTTAAATGTATCAAATGCTATCAAATTTTCTTTCAACTTCAAAGGTAACACTGATCATTTCAGGAAATATCAAATGTAAGAGTAGAGACTGAAAGGGCTTTATGCAGAAAGAATGTGATCTTTATAAGATATTAATGTAAATTAGATACAGTTACCACCCACCTAGAAAGACTTTCTCTTTTCCAATACAGTAAGTGCCACAGACAACAAGAGCCCGTGGGTTTAGGGTTACAGTCTCAAAGGCAGTGTTGATGGCAAACTGGATAACCTCCTGCTGAGATGGGAAGGAATATTCTGGGCTGCAATATCTGTAACAAGGAAATGCAGTTCTTACTGAGAGAATAGGAAAGCTATGGATTCTACGTGGAAGCTACTTTAGAAAACAATCCAGCAAGCTACATACAGTAGTGTAATGTGTTAAAACTACATAGGCATCACACTGTCTAGAGTTAAAATACTTGTTTCTAGTTACTGCTAATTTATGGTAGAATTACAGTTTTTAAGGTCTTTTTAAAATTGTATTTTATATCATTCTCAAAGAAATTGCCTTTTTGAAGACTTCTCTATAAGGATATTTCTAACAGTTAACTGCATTAGTTATAGAGTATAAAACCCAGTATCTTTTTAACCCAAGTCACTATCAAAGAAAATACCCTTGAAATGGATTATATTTGCATGAAAAAATTCTGATTTAATAATAATGAGACTAAGCATGAATTTAACGTGGTGTTTCAAATTGAAGTTAATATCCACATGGTTGTTCCCTTCTCACAGAAGTATATGTATTACATGAATACAACAGATCTAGCTAGGCCAAATACAAAATGGTGAAAGTTAATACTAAGCTATTATCTGTACATATTTTGAGATGAAAAGTATCATCTCACCAAAATGTAACACACTACAGACACCAAACACTATTTCCCTCAAGTTTCAAAATTGCTTTTGTTAGCCAACCACCAAAAAAGGGGAAGATTCTCAATCTTTTCTCCTATAAAAACCCACAAAGAAATTCAGAATTTTATGTTGCCAAAACTACATAAGTTTCTAAAAACTTACTTCCTTAATTTATCTATTACCTAAAGTACATATATAAAAAAAATGGAAAATCTGCCATCATAAGAAAACAGGATAGTATCCTTTTTTTTGAAAGATTTCTTTATTAAAATATCACATTCAAAAAGTCCCTGAAATATTTAATACAATTAATTCCTAATGAATCAATGAGGTATTTTCATATGATATTACATTGTGTACAACAAATATAGACAATTTTTCCTGTCAAGTATACCTTAATAAAGCTAATATATATATTATTTAAACATAATAGCTAACGTCATTATGATATATCACTGAGGAACTCAAGCTATCACTTATAAATTACCTTTTGGAGGAAAGAACAAAAGCAATTTCAATATTCAGAAACAAAATTGCATTTGGTCTCTGTTTCCTCCTTACAATTATATACAATAACTATACAGACACTCTAGAAGGTTACTATAAAGCATGTTTTCTATAAACATTAAAAAATAACAAAAAGTTATGACATAAAATCCTAAATTTTCCCTTTAGCAGGTATATCTGCCCTAGCAGCATCCCTTCAGTCTTAAAATAACTGGCGATAAGCCATCATTTTTATTACCTAAGCAAATACTTAAATTATCCATAAACTATAGAGCAAAAGCTACCAGTGGGAAAAGAGAAAACCTCTCTCACGTGGTGTCTAAGTACAGAGTGTGGATTTTCCGGCCTGCGAGAAGTGACCGTTCCATGCTGGGATCTGCCCGGAAGTCTCCAGTGTGTAACACAACAGCACCGTTAGGAAGGTGGAAAAGGATCATGGCGGCACCTGGACAGCTGAACAAGCAGTTTAGAGGGATATTTACAACAGACAGAGCACCTAAGGCAAGGATGTGTTTCAGTATCAACAAGTGAACATACTTTATAAGCTGACCACAGTGACAGAGTCAAGCTCAAAGGAAATACAGCTCTGTGATTAGCGGAAATTTCTGTCACAAATGAACTGGTATGCCAGAAGTGTGCTCCAACTTATACTGTGTACATTCCCCGAAAGTCCTGTTTTCAAGACAGGCAAGTCCACTTAGAACATGAGCTCTAAGCCCCTGGAATATTTTGTCTGAAAGTGTTTTGTACAGTTGAGACACTACCTTGATCAGAGAGTTTATGTGAACTATGTGGTCTGAATACCTTAATAAAGTTGACTCAAACGAACTAAAACTCAAATAGGCAATTTTAAAAAGAAAGAGCAGTAAAGTTAGCAGACAAATTTTTAGAAAAGCAATCTGAAGTGATAATACTGGTCTGGATTTTAGCAAACCTAGATTTAGCCTACTTCTTCCTCCAAAAGCCCATGATCTCCATGGGACAGAGGCTAGGAGAAAACATCCCAGGAAAAACAGTGAGAAGCATAGCTGATAATTGTGTTCTTGACAATTGAATCCTGATAGCCCTTTACAGCAGGAGGGATGGTAGAAATGAAGCCAGAGGTGGAAAGGGAGATGAAGATGGAAGGGGAGGAGGAGGGTTGGAGAGAGGGAGAGGAAGGGAGGAGGGAGAGGGAGAAAGAGGGAGAAAGGAGAGGGAGAAAGAGGGAGAAAGGAGAGGAAGGAGAGAGAGAGAGAGAGAGAGAGAGAGAGAGAGAGAGAGAGGAGGGAGAGAGAGAGGGAGAGAAGAGAGAGAGGAGAGAGAGAGAGAGAGAGAGAGAGAGAGAGAGAGAGAGAGAGAGAGAGAGCGCCAACCATTTGTTTCCATTGAAAAATCTTTAAAATCTTGAGTGTCCTCCGACCACTCTGCCAGCTATAGTCCCACCTCCTTCCCACGCTCATCAAGGAGTCAGGGGGGTAGGCAGCTGGCCTCCCACCCAATCAGTCAACCTTAGCTGCATGTGTGGGGAGGGGCTAAGGATATGTAAGCCAAGAACACTATGAGGCACCTCTCTGGCTATTTTGTGGGGCTGTCGGGAAGTCACAGATCTATATTTGAGTGTGGACTTGCCAGCACAGCTGTAAATGAGGGGGTGGGGGCACTCTCCCGTAAATAAACCCCCATGCTATGCTCTGTTAGCAAGCCCAATAAACTAGTTAAGATTAAAAAAAAAAATGAAATAAAAGAAAGTACCCAGATGTAGTGGCACACACCTGTAATTTCCACCCTCAGGAGCTGAGAAAGGATCTTGAATTCAAGACCAGCCTAGATCACATAAAGAAACTCTCTCAAAATTAACTGAGTAAATAAATAAAGGGATGGCATACAATTAAAAAGAAAAATCTTCCAAATTTTTAGTATCTACAGCCTGAAGCATTTTTGGTTTCCAGGCAGGGGTAAAGAACAGAGGACCAAACATCTAGTATCTAAGTAGAATAAACTGCTACTTTATATAAATTATATTAAAGAAAATGCCAAAAACATTTTTGAAGAATAAGAACAATATTAGTAACAACCTATTTAAATATGAAGTATTGGGCTGGAGAGATGACTTAGCAGTTACGAGCACTGGCTGCTCTTGCAGAGGACCTGAGTTCTATTCCCAGCACCCATATGGTGACTAAGAGCCTCTAGTTCCAGAGGATCTGACACCCTCTTCTGACCTCTGCAGGTATTACATGACATGGCTCTACTTATATGCACGTAGGCAATACAATCATACACATAAAATAAATGAAATATAAAAAAATATGAGGTATCATAGGTCAACTACATTATGAATCAAACCACAGAGAGTCTCTCTACATTTAATCTCTCTAGTATTTTTTTTTTCAAAAGTAGAAACAGTGGGCATTGTAACACACACCTTTAATCCCAACACTCAGGAAGCAGAGGCAGGCAGATCTCTGTGAGATCCAGGCCAGCCTAGTCTACATAGTGAGTTCCAGGTCAGCTGGAGCTACTGGGAGTCCCTATCTTCGAAACAAAACAGAACAGAACAGAACGGAGCAAAACAAGTCGAAACATGGTTTATTCAAGTTTATGAAATATCAAGCACATCAGCTCTAACAGAATTCTTAACCATACCACTATGGATCCTTTGGAATATTTTTAAAAATAGACAACTATTAAGGTGACTTTATAAGATTGCTACATTGGCTGCTGCACCCAGAGAGCAACTAAGATGGCTTCAGTACTTACTGATTGGCATCTAGCAAAACAACTTTGACACCATCCACTACACATTCAGTGTCCATCGGCAGCTGGTGGATATACTGTTCCTGGACACGAAGCTTGTTCTTCAACAAACTGCCAGTTATCTGCGAGACAGAGTGTACTGATTGCTGGTGTAGTAAAACACTAAATATTTTGTTTCACATCTAATTTGGAACCACAGTAGCATAATAACTCCCTGTTTTCCCACCTTTACACGTGTAAACCTTCAATACCAGAAAGGACTCCGTAAGACAGCTGTGTTACTCTTCTGCTTGAACACTGTCACTGGCTCTCCTTTCCTGGGAAAAGTACACCATTCCCAGCAGGATACACACAACTCTGTCGCCTGGCCCCTGCTGTCTCCTATATTTCTCATGGTGTTCTAGCTATTCTGAATTTTCCAAAAGCCTGGAATACATATATTTCCGAGGTATTTGTACCTGTCCATAAAGTCTCCTCCACTGAGACCATTCTCTTTTTCCTCTATGTGGCTATGGAATCAGACCCACATTCAAATTTTGCTTTGCCATTACTGGCTCTGTGACCTGGGGCCTGTCACTCAATTCCTCCAAACCTCAAAGCTTCACCAAGAAAAAGAAGACACTTCATGAATGCTCTGAGGATTAAATCAAATTCTAGCTAAAGTCCTCAGTAATGGGGATTAAAATGTTCACCATCTAATAATCAGTTCAAGGTATTTGTTTCACCATGAAACTTTCTCTAAGCTCAGCTGGTAACAGAACAGAGTATTCCCTTCTCCTTATCCAAGGCTCTCTGTTTTAATACTAATCCCAATTAACTTTATTTGTGAATGTTTCCCCTTGGAAGCTGTAAGCTCCATAAAGTTAAGTATTTTTCTTTTATATCCATTTAGGCACTCAGTTATATGAAATAGTTTGTTGTTCTCATGAAATAAAATACATGTCTGTGAAAATGGACTGTAACTGTTGATAGTAAGTCATTTGATTTTAGAACTCTACGGTGGAATCTGTTTTCTCCTATCTTTTCTAGTAGAATCATGGTTCATTTAGTTTTCAACATTCTTTTAATGAAGATGCTGAGAGTCACAGCATTTTACAAAGTCGATTTAGAAAACTTACCTCACTACAATAAACTGGCAGTGTGAAGTTCTTAGACAATCCTGCATAATGATCAGAATGGAAATGTGTGAGGAAATAGGCTGTGCAGCCTTCAATCTCTCCGTACTGAAAGGCATCCACAGTAAAGCCGGTTCCTACGAGAGATGCCAGATGGAAGGATAAGCAAGAGCCAAGAGAGGCACCTGGCCTCATGGTAAATACTGGGCCCTCTCTCTTCTCTACCACTTGTTCCCCTCTATATTCAATTTTAATTATATAAAAGCACAAAAGGTAAGAAACCTTGCATCTACTAAATATCCCAGTATACAGGCTTTGTGAATAACTGTACCAAAAAAAAGTTAAAATATAGTTACAAGCCAATTACTTGTTTTAATTAATACTTTTCTGATATTCACAGGGCACCTGAAATCTTTCACTTTCTATGAAACATCAAAGGAGAATTTAACACATCAAAAGCATGATGGGAGGGTGTAATACTAATTCACTTCTCAGGGTAACAAATGGCTGGGGGTCAAATAACTTAGAAAAGTTTGCAGTCCTCCAAAGGGTCAAAGTAAAATAAAAGATAAACAGTATATCCATAATCCTTGAATTTTATTGCAGGTTAAGGGAAGAGGGTAGAGAATTAGAAGGAATAGGCTAAAAAGTCTCCCTGGAGGAGCAATTAAAAAAAAAAGAAGTTGAGAACTACTGCTTTGAAATGTGCTTATGAAGAAACAGCCAAGAGTGCTGACAGATGCCATGCAAGTAAATAAACACACCTTCTCGGGCCTATGGAGGTCATCAACACATGGCACGCTTAAAAGTGCAGAAAACTTATCACGATAATTAAAAACAAAACTGGCACTACCTCTTGACACAAATACTTTGAATAAATTACAGACTTGAAGCATCTATAAAGCACTTTAACAAAAATATTTTGAACTTAAGTATATTTTGACTGTTTTATTGTAAATTCTGTATTATTGGTTTCTTTAATAATACAATCCATTTCAGTGCACAGTTTTCTATGAACTCATCTGTGAAGGCACGGGCCACAGGAGTAGAGAAACTGAGTTTTAATACTGTTTTAAAACGTTTGGTGCCAGGTGTGGTGGCACATGCTTTTGATCCCAGAATGCGGGAAGCAGCAGGAGGTGGATCTCTGTGAGTTCTAGGTCAGCTGGGGCTACAGAGAGACACTGCCTCAAAACAAAACAAAAAAATTGTTTGGCAATTATGACAGGCACAGTCAGTCACACTGCCCTTCTTTGAAACTCTTTAGCTCTTTACATTTCTCAGAAGTGCGTGGACCCTGCCTTCTATTCACTTCCTTCTGCTGATGTCTTTCAGAGCAAGCTGAATCTCTATTATTCACTTACTAGTCTTTTTATAATCTGTAATATCTACCTAACTAGTGTAATAGCACATACAAAACAGTTAATAAAAAATTCTGAGAATGGAGGAAAAAAGCAAACAACAAAAACTAAAAACAAATAAATAAAACCCCCAAATGTTGTTAGAGATTCAGGAAGTGTCATAGAGAACAAAGAACACATATATTGCAGAAGATATTATTCCAAATACATACGGCCAAGGACAAGAAACATGAAGTTAAACAATGCTCTCTTGTTGATAACTGAACTTGGCATTTCAACTTACCAGGGATTTTCTTATAGAATGGACATGTCCTTTTTCTGAACTCCTTGGCACTAGATGACTCTGAAATTTTCATGTTCCCTCTTTGCAGCCTGCCATGAGTTGATTTTACAAAGACTTTGCTTTTACTTAAATTGACTGCTCCCAATTCTGGACTGTCAATAAGGTGATCTGACCTCTTCTGACATGCTCCTTTCTGTGGTGAATTTGAATTTTTATGTCTCTTTCTTCGATGCCATGACCTCTTGCCACATAGTTCCACAGAGTGCTGACTCTCATTTAAATTCTTTGCATCAAATTCTAAGTCACTTAATGAATTTTCTGCTTTCCTTTTGCGCGATCGGGACCTCTTTTCATTAGGACTTACAACTGGAGTAACATTCAGCCCTTCTAACACACTTTCCTCCAGAGTTTTCTCTTCTGGTCTTTTGGGGGGTAATCCAAAATACACACCTATGTCCATTTGCTTCATTACCTTCGCAGAAGGTTGGCTTGCACTGCACTTAGGACCAGAAAATGATGTTTTCAAAGGAGTCTTAGCAAGAGGTATATTAGAACATTTTTCTACATTTAAAGCTGTAACTCTGCCATCTACCATGTTATCTGATGCCTTTCTGCAAATACATGCTGAGTTAGCACTCTTCTTAGCACATACCTTCTTACTTGGCAGTTCTCTAGTTTGATTTTGGGGTGGATGGAGAGGTGAGTACTCTCCTCCCTCCCATTCAAATGGTTTAGATGTGTCAGGCCTAAGTAATGGCAGACAAATTTGATTGTAAACAGCTGATTCTTGCAGTCCACGTTTCAGATTTGTTGATGGAGATGAGTGAAATCCTTTTGGCTCACCAGGTTTGGTGTTAGTGGTATTAGAAGCAGTGAGCAACTCTGCTTTAGCAGGTGAAAACAACAGCAAATTATCATCAGAATATGTGGGATAGCCATGGGAAACACTACTCGTAGCTTGTGAGATAAGCTGAAATGAATCACTTAGAATTCTGTCATCACACAATCTGCTGTAGTTATCCTGAGTTATGAAGCTATTCACTGTGGGGCAGATTCTCTCTGCGTCCTTCAGATAGGGATCATGAAGTTTTTCAAACATGGTGGAGCTGTCGTCATCTTCTAGGCTGCTGTCTTTAGAACTTTGGGTAAAAAATAGTTCCTGTTGTGAATCATCCAGCTCTTCGTCTATATCATAAGTCTCTTCATCACTCTGCAGCGGAGAATAGGAGATCTCACAGCTGCCGGAGTCATTTCTTGGCAATGGCAAATTCATACTCTGAGACTTGCTTTGGCTGTTTGATTCTTCCTCATCAAGAGGCAAACCAACTCCTACCACTTTTTCTTTGTTAACAAATTTAGTAAACTGTGGAGCTTGTTGTGACGTTTGACTACTCAGAGAAGTGGGAATCTTTTTGTTGGTTTCAGTTGGAGGCTGAGCTGTTTTTAGACACTGTGTCATCAACATAGAATCAGCTGAAACATTTTTTAAGTTCTCAATTTGTTTCGGATGCACACACCATCTTTCTTCAAGGTTATGAGAAGGGTCTGGCTTGCTTGGGGTAAAACCCCCGCCTGACACACAGGGTGGGCTGCTAAAAGGCTCATTGCTAGCCCTACTTTGAGCTAGCAGAAGGTGCATGTACTTCTTATAATGAGAAGGCATTGTGGAGGTACACAGAAGACCATCAGGACACTCTGAAAATAGTAAAAGGAAAGAAAATGCATCCTAGGATGAAATTGGGCACAGCATAAGCACTATAAAATAACCTGTAAGCAGAAAAGCATGAGTTTCCCCCTGAGAACCATGACAACAGCTACTCTAAACTACAGAAGAAAGGGCTAAAATCAACATTAAAATACCAATTAATCCAACGCAATTTTACAAGGTACTAATTATTATTTTAAAACCAAATTGCTTTTCAAATAGTCTTTTCTCAAAAAAAAAGAGATAACATTAAAAAAAAAAAGTCACCCGAACTCATTCTCCACATAGTCCAAGGAGAATTTTCTTCATGTTAAAAGTGACATATATTTTGAAAGATAATAAAAAGAGGGTATAACTTTTAGGAGCATCTTAGTCATCTACAACTATCTCCTAGTTCCCCATCCTGTATGCAAGCATAATCAGTACAACATAACCACACTCATAAACCAAAGTGTACTTATAGTTTTATATATAATTCCAAAATAAGGTAACTAATCGGCTGAATTATTCAACATGTAGGAATCCTAATCTATAAACTGTCAATACCACCTACCTTACATGGTCCTCATGAGAATCAACTAAAAGCATCCTGAAAGTCCTTAGCTCCGGTGACGTTCAATGAACATTTATAGAAAATAATCAAGGGGGTGTGGAGATGGCTCACTCAGTAAAGTACCTATTGTGCACATGAGGTTCTGAGTTCAGATTTCTAGCACACACATAAAAAAGTGGGGCATAGTTGCACGTGCTTGTAATCCCAGAAGTGGGGAGGTAAAGACAGGAGGATCCCTGGGGCTTTCTGGTTGGCTAGTTTAGCCAATCAGTGAGATTCAGGTTCAGTGAGACCCTAGCTCAAAAAATATAGTGGAGCGCAATAGAGAAACACACCAACATCAACCTCTGGCTTCCACATGCATGTTGGCCTCACATGCATGTTGGCCTCCACATGCAGGTGTACAGACACATACATAGCCACTACACACACACACACTAAAGAGATATTTAGGGATTTTTATGAGAAGTCAAAATGCATGTAAATGTTTTTGGGTTTGCAACTTTCTTTAGAATCATACCATTGACTGGCACAGTGTCTAAGCTTTCTTTTGTTTCTCTTTTGGCTTGCCCTGCCGGTTTCATGGAGCTAACATGGCTGACCTCATACAGGGCGTTTGGACTGATATAGTTATCTTTACTTACCTGTGTCAGAGACCGGTGGAGAATCCAAACATTCGAAAACATGCCATCGGGGTGTCTGACCCAGCAATGAGGAGAATGGCATCTGGCAGCTTGGACAGTATCCATCATACACTGGGCGTATTTTGGGGGACGCTTGCTTGCTTTTGTGAGGTTTACAGTGCTTTCTCGGAGTAGTCTCTTTGCTTTGAGACTGCTGAATACCATCTCTACAACTTGAATTCTGACTAGAACCTATGGAGATCTGACAATCTGTTTCTCCAAGGCACTTTTCACGGTTCTTCCCGTTATCTTTGGTGGTTCGTTTTTTGTGTCCTTTTCGTTTTGACTGGGATTTTCCATCTGTTGCTATTCCAACAGATTCTGGAATATTTTCAGAGCAATCATTTAAATGTTCTGGTTTTGGTTTTCTTTTAGATTTGTATTCCCAGATGTCTTCCTCCCAAAATGCGTCTTCTAACATGGCAAAATGTTTTTTTTACCAGTAAAGCATTAGCCTTTAGTAAACTGAGAGTCCATTTCTTCTTACAAATTTTTTAAATAGGAAAAAAAGTGACCAAAACCCTACTAACTTGGTAGGAATCTAAGCGCTTTGGTAATGATTATATTGGCACAGAGAATGCCAAGTATCTGGTAAAATCTGCTGTACCACTTATACCACAATAAAATTAAGATAACCTATCACAGGGGTAGCATCTGTAAATTTTGCTTTACATTGCTCTATTATTTCATTTTTTTGCCTTTTCCGAGAGTTGATTCATAAAAATAAGAATCAATAATGCCCCGAAAATGCAGCACTAACGGGGAAGCATAGGTTCAACAACTTTATCTCAAAACACTTCGTGCAATTTCTATGAAACTACCCTAGTTCTCTTCAAAGTGGGTAAATGTCCCTTTACAAGTCCAGTCACAGTTCCCACCCAAATGGCTCAGTTAAGTGTTCCAAATTCTATTGGTTACTTCAGTTTGCTATTGAAAGTAGTCACACCATCATCAGAGGTGAGTCGCAGAACAGCAAATATCCTTATCCATGACTCAGGGCCAGGATTCAGTTTCCTAGGCCACTCCAATCTCTTCCTTCATGATAGGCTCAAACCCTGCACAGGGAACAAAGTTCAAACAGGTGAGGTCGTGTTGAGGCCACACTACAGGGGCTGTCGGTCCCGAAGGAGGAGGGGGGCTCTCTACAGGCCTCCATGGAGGGGTCATGTGCCAGCAAATTCCCACACCCTCTTTCCCTCTGGATTTAGGGTGGGGGAAAGCCAGGGGGCCTAAACCTTTCTGAGGTTAAGCACAGCCAGCTCCCGAAGGACCGTCTCCTTCTGCTGGCTCAGAGGCCGGGCCTGGAAGCCCCTCGTGGGCGCACCTGGCCCAGCAGCCCCTGGAAAGCTGCAGCTGCGTCCGCTCGGCTCCCGGCCCCCTGCAGCTCGCCTGACTCTCCATTCGCACACGCACTTTCAGCACTCCCAGGGCCACACGATACGTTTACACTCAAGACAAAGCCACTGGCCGGGCACTCCCTATTTTAAAAACCTACGCCTTTGAGGAGTCTTCTATCCCTTTACCTTTCGAGTCTTGGCGGGAACCGTCTCCCGCTGCCCCTGAGAGTGCCGAATCGGCTGATCCCAGTCGAAGAATGGAATAAGATTTTTTTTTTTTAAAGTCGGCTCTTTTTAAGTTGTGCAGACTATTTCTTTTATTTGTGCTCGAAACTCTAAAACGGGGGCGGGGGGTGGCATGGCAATGGGTCCCTCAGCCCCTCCGGAGAGCGACCCCAGTGGCCTTTCCCGTGTCGAATCTGGAGCAGTGGACGTCCAGACTTCGCAGAGGTCCGGAATCTGCAAGGGGCGGGGAGGGCCGCCCCAGAGTTCAATAACGAGCTGAAGCAGCGCTGCGCTTTGGACTTGGGCATCTGGACGTCGGCTAGGGCGGACGTGCTTGTGGCCCCGCGCGAGGGTGGCGCGGAGGCGGAAGGACTGCGCTCTGGTCCCGCGCTCTCCAGCCCGTGGCCCTCCGCGGCCCGGGCAACATGGCGGCCCCCGGAGCGCGCGGTGGTAGCCTGTCGGGCCTACTTCACGCGCAGACCTCGCTGGAGTACGCGCTGCTGGACGCCGTCACCCAGCAGGAGAAGGACGAGCTGGTCTACCAGTATCTGCAGAAAGTGGACAGCTGGGAGCAGGACCTGGCGGTGCCCGAGTTTCCGGAAGGTGAGGGGCTGGCGTCGGGGGTGGTGGTGGGGCGGCCCGGGTCCTCCCCTTCCTCAGGACCGGCGCCCTCCCGCCAGCATTCTTTGCCGCTGCCCGACGGTGACCCCGGGATGGCCCAGGGTGGCGGTACCCGGGGCTTCTGGAGGGCGGGATCTGCCCCTGCAAGTCTGTCTTGAGCCCAGCCTGATGGACGTCACGGATATCTGTCTTGCGCCCCGACCAAGCCTGTTGTCAGTGACCTGCACACTCCATGAACGTTGAGTGGCCAGGGTTGCCAGTGACGGGAATGTCAAGACCACCTTGTCCTTGCTGTCTGCCCCCCACCCCCAGCCTGTCCTCATCACCTTTGATCATCATAAGTGACGTTTATTGAACACTTTCTACATGCCCTATGCGGTTCTGAGCACTTCTGGGGATAGTCTATCCTCCCTACCACCCGCTGAGGCACTCTTTTTTTTTTTTTTTTTTAAAGTCTTGTTTGACAGTTAAGGAAACAGGCACAGGGAGATGAGGGAAGTTGCCCAGTTAATAACTGCTAGAGTTGAACTGTAGTCTACGCAGCTCAGATTTGTTGCTTTTCTAGCCTTGCGAGTCTACATTCAAAGCAGTGAAACTGAAGTTTGAAAACTCTGAATCTATTTTAGCTTATTACCAGGGTTTGAATCCTGGCTATGTGAACAGTTGGAACATGAGGGAATAGATACTCCCAGCAGTGCAGTTTGAAATGAAAGTCTACTTTACCTTCTTTGGTTGGGAAACGCCTGCTAGTGTTGGCACGTGCCCTGGCCTGTCACTGAAACCACATGCATTGTTAATTGGCTGCTTGTGGCAGAGTTCGGTTGTCTCCTGGGAAATATATCAGTACCTCTTCAAACAACAGTCTTGGGTGTCTTTTTTTACCTTTTTGCACTTGCCTTGAGGGGGGCTTGTCCCCCCCCCCCCTTGTGGTTCTTATACTGGTTTTGAAATGCTGTGGAATTGCAAAGCAGTTGGGTACATGGAAGCTTAGCCCATCTGAGAAACTTTTTTTTTTGGTCCTTTTGAGAGAGGGTCTCCCTGTAGCCCCAACTGTCCTGGAACTCACTATGGAGACCAGGCTGGCCTCTGCCTCACAAGTGCTGGGATTAAAGGCTTGCGCCACCACACCCGGCTGAGAAACTTTTAACATGTCACATATCTATAAACGTGTATATAATATCTTGTGAAAACTTTGTAAGAAAAAGGCACTTAATATAAGTATTCTGCTGTAATCCAGGAGGCCACTAGCTAGACTTTGAGGACAATGTTTCAGTTTCTAGTTTACTTTATTACTTTATTGCTGTGACGTTTGACCTCTGTGACTCAAGTCTTATGCATAAGAAAATAGGCTTTGCTTTTGATGCAGTCTGGTATTCTGCTGGACCCGGTTACTGAGGACAGAATGCTAAGAATGAACAAAGCGTTTCTGAGATTAAAGTTATGTTTAGACTTCCCAATTGAAGTTTACTGATAAACCAAGAAAATATTCATTCTTAGGAAGCTTCCATTTGCAGTATAAAGGATTCAGGCAGACCTGGGATTAAGTCCTTGTTACTCCCTTTGTTAGCTTTGTGATTTTGAGCAAGTTACTTGATTTCTCTAGGTCTTAATTTTTTCACTTGTAAATAGAGCTAGTATTTACTTTTCAGTGTTACTATGTGGAAGTAATTTAGGTAAATTCTTACTAAACAAGAAGGCTTACTAGACATTAGCAGTTTATTGTGTTCATTGTAATTGTTGCTATATAAAATACATTATTATCATTAAACCTAGTAAACCCTAGCACAATAACTAAAGTATAATTCTTTCCCTACTCCCTCAACTTAAGTCATTTGTAACAATTTATAGAAAAGCCATAGAAGACAGATTCAAATGTCTTGTAAGTAGGGTGTGAAATATACCTTAGTTGGTAGATATACTTACTAGTTCTTTTTCATTTATTTTTATTTTATGTGTATGAGTATATTGCCTGCATGTATGTAAGTGCACCTGTGTGATGCAATGCCCATGGAAGTCAAAAGAGGGTGTCAGAATCCCCTGGAACTGGAGTCATGGATAGTGCTGGGAATCAAACCCCAGTTCTCTGAAAGAGCAGCCAGTGCACTTAAGCACTGAACCATCTCTCCAGCACCATAGTTAATGGTTCTGTATCATCAATGATCTGGTGTATAGCCGCCGCTTTTATCAAAATGAGTAAATAATCCCTGAACCCCAAAACTTCACTACTTTAGACTATTTGGTAGAAATACTAGTTTGATTTGAGATTTTCTTTTCTAGAATTTTGTTATCATTAAATAACCACAGTTACTGTTATTTGTAGCCATTCCTACATTTGTTTTCCCTTGTGTATGGTTTCAGGTACCTATAGTCAACCACCATCTCAAAATATTACATAGAATATTCCAGCATTCTAGAGATACACAATTCATAAGTTTTAAATTGTGCACTGTTCTGAGTAGCATGACAAGATTATGTGCCTCCCTGCTGTGCCCTGTCCAGGATGCCAATCATCCCGTCCACATATCACCATTGCATGTGTCCACCCACTTAGTCATTTAGGGCTTGTCTTGATTTTGAGATCGAATGTGGCAGAACCACAATGCTTGTGCTCAGATTACCCTTATTTCATTGAACAGTGGCTCCAAAGCACACAAGTAATGATGTTGTCTGTTGGATATGCCAGAGAGAATCCATAAAGTGCTTCTTTTAAATGAAACGAGAAAAGTTCTTGAGTTCATAAAGAAAAAAAATCACATGCTGTGGTTCTGAGATCTCTGGTAAGAATGAACCTTTCAGCCTTCAGATTGTGAAGAAGGAAAATGAGATTGTAATTTCACTTCTATAACTCAAACGGTGAAAGTTGCTTGTGACAGATAAGTGCCTAGTTAAGGTGGAAAAGGCTTTAATGCCAAGGTTCAGGCATTACTGAGGGGATATCATCCGGCTCTGCCTATTGTGGAGAAGTGGGGACTGCTGAGTCTACTTTTTCTATCCAACTTTGGCTTTTAGTTGCTATAAAAGATTTCTGCCTGCTTCCAGGTATAATTAATACGGCATTAATAGCTGTTTTTATTTACTTATAAGCAATAAACATGTTTTCGTAAATAGTTAAATAGGGATACTGATACTGTACATTTTAATTTAACAAGCTCTTCATAGTATAGAGTTAAAAATTTGAATTATAGACAATTATAAATTCTGATTTTAAGAAGCGCAAATTAGTAAGTTCCTATTTTTCTTTGAAGGGAAGGGAACATGATCTTCATCAGTCTTGATTTTTTTTTTTAAAGCTGTTGCTCATTTTTGATGTCTTACTGTTTTTACTTTTGACCTTCATTTTTAGTATCCCATTTATGCCTAATTATGTATGCAGTTTGAGTCTCTTATTAGTTGACAATTCTCTTTTCCTCTTGTTTTTTTTTTTTTTTTTTTTTTTTTTTTTTTTTTTTTTTTTTTTTAAAAAAAAAAAAAAAAGAGGACGATAAATCTTTCACTGTGATATATCAAAATAA